AACGACGACGATGCTGGTGGTGATTGTGCGGAGTATGATGATGACGATTCCGATGCCGATGCTGATGATGCTTGCGGTGACGATGTTGGTGATGATGCTAATGACGATGATTATGATGATGCTGATGATGATGATGCGGACGACGACGATGATGATAATGATGCTGACGATTATGATGATGATGACGATTCTGACAATGATGCTGATGATTGTGCTGCTGATGTTGCTGACGATGACGATGATGATGCTGATGCTGATGATGCTGATGCTGATGATGATTAGTCTGATGATGATGATGGTTAGTCTGATGATGGTGATGACGACGACGACGCTGATGATGATGATGATGCTGATGCCGCTGATGATGATGATGATGCTGATGCTGACGATGATGATGATGCTGATCATGATGATGATCATACGGTTCATGAGGACGATTGTGGTTATGCTGATGACCGTGATGAGGCTGGTGATGATGATGAGGTTGCGGAGGAGGATGATGAGGATGTTGATGCTCATGATGGTGATGATGATGATGCTGATGATGCTGCAGTTGCTGCTGCAGATGATGATGATGCTGATGATGATGCTGATGATGCTGATGATGATGATGATGACGGACGTGGTGGTGATAGTGGTGGTGATGGGTTTGATGCTGATGATGATGATGATGATGATCATGATGGTGCTGATCATGCTCCTGCTGCTGCTGCTGCTGATGAGGACATTGGTTATGCTGGGAGGTGCTGGGAGGCTGATGATGGAGTTGACGATGATGATGGTGATGATGATGTTGATGATGATGACGATCATGCTGATGGTGCTGACGACGATGATGTTGATGATGCTGATGATGATGATCATGCTGATAATGAAGATGACGAGTCCGATGCCGATGCTGATGCTGCTGACGGTGTTGATGATACTGCACACGATGATGGATGATAATGTTGATGATGCTCTTTATGATGCTGATGATCATGATGATGATGCTGGTGATGATGATGATGATGACGAAGACCATGATGATGATGATGTTATGTTGATGATGATGATGATGGTGGTGATGATGATGATGCTGATTCTTATATTGGTGGTGATGCTGATGATTCTGATGATGACGATTCTCATGCCGATGCTGATGATGCTGGCGGTGACCATTACGATGGTGATCATGATGATGATGCTGATGACGATGGTGATGATGCTGGTAATTAGGATGATGATGACCAGGATTACCATGATGCTGATGCTGGTGGTGGTGATGATGATGATACTGGTCGTGATGATGATGATGCTGACGACGACGATAATTATGAATATGATGATTGTGGCGATGATAATGTTGATCATAATGACGGCGATTCTGATGCCGATGCTGATAATGTTGACGATGATGATGATAATGATGATGATGATGATGATGATGATCCTGATCATGATGATGACGATCATGACGATGATGAAGGTGGTTATGATGATCATGATGATGATGCTGGCGACGACGATGATGATGCTGATGATGGTGGTGATGATAATGATCATGCTGATGACGATTCCGATGCCGATGCTCTCGATGCTGACGACGATGATGTTGATGTTGCTGATGATGATAGTGGTGATGACGATGATGACGACGATGATGATGTTGATGATGATGATACTGATCATGATGATGAGGACGATGCCGATGATGATGATGATGATAAGTATCATTATTATCATTATTACTAAGTTTATGTTGGTTTGCCTATTCGTAGTATCACCGTTACTGCCGTTATTACGAGTTGTTTCATTCTGATCATTGTTCGTATGATGATGCTAAAGACGATGACGATGGTGATGCTAATGACGGTGCTACTGCTGCTACTGATAATGATAGTGGTGATACGGATGATGATGATGATGATGATGATGATGATGATGATGATGATGATGATGATGATGCTGATGATGGTGGTGACGGTGATGCTCCTGCCGCTGCTGCTGCTGCGAATGAGGATTATCATTGTGCTGACAGGCAACAGGAGGCTGGCCGACCGCATCGGACGCGAGTTGCTGACGACCGAAGAGCGCCCTCAGGAGCCCGGCGACGCCGCCGCCGAGCGGCGCGCCGAGTCGCCCTGGAGCGCCGCGGCGTCCGCCGGCGCCGGCGGCTTGGAGGCCGCCAAGGAGGCCCCGCCTCCTTCTAGTCTTAAGGCGGTCGTGTCCCTCTACTGGAGGAAGATTCGAGAGTAGGCAAGAAATAGTCAGGGGACGATTCTCGACTATTTTTGACTACTTGGGAATATGTTTGGACTACGTTACATTCTTCTTACAGCATCCGTCTATAGGAGGACATGCCCTATCTAACTCCGTCCTCCCAAATCGGGCTGGCTTGACCAGACCTGAGAGCGACCTTTCACCAAGGTGACCTTTGTGCGGGCCCACTGGAGTCTCCCGATCGCTGAGCGCGAAGCGGTACTTAGCAGCGGCTTGAGCGCCTGGATTTTGGCCACCCCGCGTCCCCCATGGAGCCGCGCACCAAAGGTCGCTCTTGCGTGTAGCCGACTGGAGTGGCTGGGGTCGGAGGGTCGCGCCGCATCGCCGATTCATCGGCGATGCGGCTCGACGTGGAGCCGATCTTCTCCGCCGTCGCCGCTGCACTGCTGGCCCTCGCCAGTGCATCGGCGATGCTTCGCCGATGCATCGGCGATGCGGCGAGATCTTTCGACCCAATCTATCAGGAGGGGAAAACACACACAGACACAATTTATCGTCGATTCCCAAGAAAATATGGGGAACTATGGGAAGTGGGGGGGAAGACAGAAACATAGCAAATGTAGGAAAACAGCGGGAATATGGTTGCTTGTATCTATGCATTTGTGTTTCCCGGGGCCCCTTCAGATGCATCGGCGGTGCTTCTCCGACGCAGCGGCGAGGGCCGGCGAGAT